AAACACTGAGTTGGAAAGACAGAATATCAAGTTCTCGTGCTGTTGTATTATATGTATATTATATTCTAATAATCAAAATATAGAGGCACACTGTACGCATTTGTAGCGCCCGGGTATAAACAATACACGGACGACCTCTAGCAGGCACGCGATCAAAATTATTAAATTAAAAATAAAATTATATTTGTGTGCGGTTCCATTGACACAACACTAAAGCATATTTTAAAAGTTTAATAATATATTTATTTATGAATAAATAAATCATAATCAGAAATGTTAAATATAATTATTTTGAAGCTTTTAGAATTTGCATAAATAATAATAACCTATATCATATATATCAATTGGTAAGTATAGTTACGATTGTGCAATAAATAGAACATTTTAACCGTTCAGCAATAGTTACAATATATCGATTTCACCATTACTATACTTGGTATATAGATCATTAGATAATTAAAAATAACACTGTGTAATGTTATCGGAAATTCTGGTCCAAATGGTTCAATTATAAATGACGTTGGGAAGTAACAGCCCGTCGACTTTGCTTACGCCGCGAGGGATGCTCTTTGGAGGCGTTGTCGCCAGCGGCGCTCGGCGCCCCCTAAGACCCCGGGCCCGTGAGTGCCGCACATCCTGCATCATAGGTAAAGCCTTTAATGGTATCAAAGTAGAAAGAGTTATATAAAAATCGACGGCCCCCACCGAATAAATGTGTAAAAGAAAAACTGCATTTTTACAGGAGCGATTAAAAACTTAAAAAAATAATATTACTCATTGGTGATTGAATATACTAAAATACAATGTATGATGAAATAAAAAAATAAATTAAATATTGTATATTGTATATATTTAGAAAATATGAAACACGAAAATATTGACAGTTTTAAATTTCTATTTAATGGCGGCTGTTAGCTTGTAGTGTTTACACCACAGACATATATCTAGATAGACGCCGCAAGTACAACAATTTGTATGAAAACCAAGCGTGCCACATTTTTTGTACCCACTACAAGAACTATTTAGTAATGGAAACCTCCTTCCGCTCGCTCTGAATCTATTGGTTGAACGTAATACGCGTAAACACGCGTATTCCATTCAATTAATCGATTCTAAATAGAATAATTTTTGTTCAAGATTTGTTGATTACAAGTAGTCGTAATATTTAATATAGTAGAAAAATACTAGAATTAAATAGTTTAGTCTTTTATTTCCCCTTTTTTTAAAAAAAATGTTGATTACTTAAAAAATAAGACTTTAATTTTTAATCGACTTCAAATATTAAAATTATTGTCTTTCCAACAAAATTAGTTTATTATATAATATCTTTTTGTAATAACGCGTACACACTCATAGCCCCGCACTAGGGAAACCCTGTATCGCGGGTGCCATAGACACACATATAGACAACCACAAATTCCATCCAAACTCACGGGAGAAATAAATATAGGCCATACAAATATTTCTCCCGGCCCGGGAATCGAACCCGGGACCTTTGCGTGGCAGTCCAGCATGGTAACCGTTCGACCACGGAGGCAGTTAAGGAAGGAGGAAGATCTTATCGATTAATTTAAATATGAAAACGCACGTCAATATGTGAACTTGCGACTGCCTTAATCAATTTTATTAGATGGTTTTCTGTTGGGAATTGATCAAATTGAGGAATGGCAAGACAAGTGGAAATGTTACTGCTCAAAAATAGGGTAAAATCTGATTAATCAGAGGAGATTTACTTAATGACGGCCTCGTGTGAAATTTTTGTGATTTGTTCACTATTTCTCGGATTTCTAATTGCATATTTGGATAGCATCTTAGATGGAATAAACTAGACAACGTTCGTTTTTGTAAAGACAGCGCACTGTTAATTCTTTGCATTATATTTTTTTTTTTCACACGTACATATCCGGCGATGTATGTAATTATTTGCTCACTATATTCGGACATTCGAGGCAACGTGCTGCAAAAATTATTGAAATTACAGATACTACTGATAATGTATAGTACAAAACTGAAAAAAAAAAACGAAACATTACAAAGAGTTATAGAATATTTTTATGATAAACTGAATGCATTATACAAAAGTGCGTTCGTTCGATATTCATGGCGTATTAACAAAGGATCACAAATGTATCGCACCAAGTAAAAGCCGCAATGTATACAATACAAATCATGAGGCATATTTGTTTTCTCGAAATTCATACAAAATCAAAATAATTGTTTTTAAAATAAATTATGCATCTTCTGATTACAAAATCACTTGCCCGTTTAAGGAAACGTCCCTGTTTATCCGTTTACCCACAGTTATGGTGCTTTTGCAGTTTTTAATGGCACAATTATGCACTTTTTCGTTTTCGACTGGTGTTTATCTACGATGACGGTCGAGAGCGTTCTGTAAGTGTAGCAGCGGCAACTAAGTGAATTTTACTTACTTTGGGCACGCGAAGTACGTCCACTTGCGGCGTCTATCTAGATATATGTCTGTGGTTTACACTATTATTCGAGGGAAAAGTTATTTAATTACTTTAAAATGTAACATAATATTACTTCTATTTCACTATGGATATTAAGATTTGTTAATGTGAATATTACATAGTTATGTGGTTATTCTAGTAATTGGTCATACATTTTAAAAGTGCAAATATGCATTACAACTTTAAAGATTTTTAAAGATTCTCACGAACAATATTACAAAGTTACTTTGTTATAAACATGTAATAATAGGTAGTGTGCAAAATATATAGGTACTTGCAATATTCGTACGAGGTTATTGATTTTATTTTCCATAGAATAATACATGTTGGAGTACCGAATAATTATAAAATAAATTGGAAAAGAAATCAGAAAAAATTACGTGTAGGTGTGTTTTGAGCGGTAAAATCCAAAAATGTAAAAAAATACGGTAAAAGCTTTTACGTCTCTATTGGGTGGGGCCGTAGAAATACAGGCAGACGTAGAAATAAAGAGCATGACTTTGTTTCGTACAAATTCATACTCAGAATATAGCAATTTGTACACTACGTTCAATTGTTTCGGATACCGTTTCGCAATCACTTCGCAGAAAATTGTAACAACAGCTATTTTGTCTGGAAACTATATAAAGTTTATCCATTATTTGTGTCACTTACGACAACATAATGCGAACGCCGACATCGTAATGTTAAGCGAAGAGGTCGAGGTTGGGAAAGGTTGTTATAATCTTCAAATAACATGGGAAATAGTACATTCAGAAACAGACATTTCATACCATATGCTAATTCGATAATTTTATTATACTATATAATATTTATGAGTGTAAAGGAGGAGAGTTCTCTTTGCCGTGGGATGACGTTGACGTAGCTCCAGGCAAGTTAAAACTCCAAGATGTTGTGGAAATATGTTTATTTTAAAGACAATTGCTTTACACCCTGTTTGACGCCAACATAGTTCCACCCTATATGCGGAAGGTCCGGCAGTTGTTCCCAAGAAGGAACTCACTTTCGAACGTCAATTTCAGAAGGTCCGGCTAGCAATTCCTATGAAGGGACTCAATTCCTAGTTTGCCTTACTGAGCTCTCGATGTTCTCCAATATGTCTCAACGTAAACAATATTGTGTTAAAGTAGTCACCTTTCGAAGGAAAATCTTAAAACCGCGATTCAAAATGAACGCCAAATGGGTCAATGCCACCTAGCGCATTTTTAGTACACTAAAAGTAAACATTCTGGCTTAAAGCTGTCTAGTACATAAAGTAGGTTTGTTATATGTATAAATTATGTATCATAATTATTTGTAACTTAAATCCTACCTGTTCTTTAATCTTGTCATGTAATGCACCGGTTATTATTTGTTTTAAACCCAGCTCTCCGGTTGACTAGTAGTAGTAGTAGGTAGCGAATGCCTAATGGCATTAAGTTTGGACTGTTCTCTGGGCAATAAAATTTTAAATAAATATTAAATAGACAATAATTATGAAACACTTAGTTAAAAGTCTATTCATTTATCGATCTTAACTTTTGGTAACAGTGCATTTGACAAATTTCTTTTAATTACATCAACCAAATGTAAAGAAAACACTGAAGATGGACCTGAAATTCGTTTGGGAATAATTAAAGACGATGGAGGGGACATTTTTTGGCTTTATTTAGCGAAATGACCCTGAGTATGTAGCTTGCATGGCGACGGTGAATCAGAACGTCGTAAAATTACGCTTCTTTTTAACTCAAAATCCAATTCAATTTATTTATTTTAAATAAAATCTATGTAGTATTGACAATAATTAACTTATGAGCTAGTATTAATATTATTCTAACTATATAATATTACAGTAGAGCTCTATCGTGTCAATACAGTACAGTGTTTCGTAATTCCTTTACAATGAGAACCTATCGACGAATGTAAATTTATTAGTTTTTTTTAAATAGTTTATTTAGCAAAGTAAAAAAATATAAAACATATAATCCATTTATAAGCTTTCTCTCAAAATGCTATTTTTGATGTTACAGTGTATTTGGTTTGACACGGTAGAGTTACTTGTGACAGAGTTCGTCTAGGAAAGTACTAACCTAACCTTACCTATTTTCACCGTTAAGCAATAATGTGAGTATTGAAATTACAAGCACATGGCACTTGTCTACTCATGTCTCAGGGTGATGGGCGCTGTGCAGTGCCTCTCAGATTTTTGCGATTTAAAGCTTTGAGTTTCACTGCAACTGCTATAGACAGGCGTGTCGCTTACCGCCAGGCGCTGGAATTGTTTGTTCCCTCATATGGTATCATAAAAATAAAAAATAAAACAAAACACACGCACAATTCCCGACCTGTAACTATATATTGTTGTTTAAAGAATTCTGACATTTAACCACCAATTGAGATCATATTTGTCAAAAACGTTATTAACGTATATATACGTTATAACGTATTGTATTAACGTCTCTAAAAATACTTTTGTTTTACATTACACCTGTATTCATAATTTACCTTATTCTAGTATGATTTGAAAGTAACATTAAGTTTTGTTCACAGTTTCGTATTAAACCCCCTGACGCCAGTACAAGAGACGAGATGTTTGCTACAAAACGACACGCAGGCCAACAACCCTATGGCCACGCCACAGGTATCAACACTTTCTTATTTAAATTGCAAAGTCATAAAGTGAGAACTACGAGTAGCACTTTACTTCCAAATCAATACCCGGGCAGTAATCAATATGTCTTCATTAGCGAGTCGATATCAAATAAGATTTGTTTATCTATGAGACCGTTATTGAGCATTGTAGAATTTTACTGTAAATCTCGTAAATGTAGCATGGCTTCAAACGGTTATCCGTGTTCTAGTACACGATCGTTGACATTATGACGTTCATCTAGCATCGGGGATGGTGATTTATGTTAATGTGTGAGGACTATTTTCCGAACACGCAACACTTATTCTGATAAGGCTCGCCAATAGCCAAATAAATCTCTCGATAGATACTATCCATTTCTCGGTTCTGTCAATTAGCTCGCAGATCTTGAGATACGATTAACAATTCAGATTAAATCAGGCAATCGGTTAGCTCTAGGCACATGCATACTGAATGTTCGAGATTGCGCTGTGCATTTGTTGTTTCAGACAATGTCTTTAAATTTAGTTTATCAATACGTGTTCAAAAATTTTACTTAAATTAAAAATGAAATGAGATTCGCAAAGATGACTTATTCATAAACGTTCTCTTTATTATAAATTAAACCCACCAATTAAACAAACTTACCAGTTATTAATTATTTTATGAAAATAGTGACATACATAATATTTATACGAGGAATAAAAATAAACTAGCACAAAGTTTAACGTTTAAAGGCAATATATACGCTTTTATAATAAGATTCCGGTTGATATTCAAAATATGCCATTTATGAGTTTTAGAACAAAATCTTTACCCTACAAAATAATTATACAACTTCTGCGTACCTGGATGACAAAAATTTGTGGTAGTGAACCGTTTAGCTTTTGCAGGTAATCTCGATCTATGATGTTTGAAATAAATATTGTAAATGATAAATGTGTACAAAATGTTTATTTACACATTCTTGCTCATTCTTCTCAGGGGAATTTGCCTTACGAATAAGCAGTAGAGTTTAATCAATTCAATATGATGATATCAAGTGTAATTTGCTTACTAACGAAATAAAGATTATTTGACTTCGATCCTTTTTAAAGCTTTCATTGGTTGCAAAATAGGGATCTTTAAATACAAAATCATAACACTTTCTTGTCTTTTTAGCGTTCAGTGAATACTTACTACATGGTGAAACTGCAAGTTCGAACAGAGAGCGTGTGTTTAAGGCCTTGGGCCTTTGAACGAGTACCAGGCAAAGCGCTTCGAGGACTTGACAACACCATCATCTATACTTCTACTAAAGAGGCTTGTCTTGCAGCCTGTCTTAACGAGGTATCGTATACGAATATTCTGTGATACTATTCATGTTTACTGTCCATAAGTTTTTAGCGTTAATGGAACGAATTTATAATAAGCCGGTATATACAGTTAGCAAACATTCATGGAGTGTAAAATGACTTATACTGTCAATTTGAAACGTTTCTTGGTTACTTTTTGAAGAATAGTATTCTAGTTTTCACTTCAAACTAAACTTGTAGTTTTTTGGTCGGTTTATTCTTGCGTTAATATGTTTTTATTACCCTATCTATCACATTACAAAGTGTATACAAGAGTTTGTTATTAAGGGCTTTTAGTTTTGCTATAACCGCAAGAACGGAGAGGCAACGCTTGGGCGATGCAATTTACCGCTTATCTATTCAATTTATGTTTTATGGTTTCGCCCCAGTTGCAGTGGCATGCGAGATATAGGCGAAATGATAGGGGCACATTTATTATGTCCACTTGCGCTTTACTGTATTGCAACTTTGTACTTGAAGTGGATATGGAAATTGATCGCGGCGTAAAGTCTATGGCTTTGGATTTTTATTACCTGAGTCTATTATTATTACGCTAACTCTACATACTCAACGATTATTATACATTTGACTTTATTAAAATTAATGTTGTAATTAGTACCTATTCGTGTAAAAACATAAGATGAAATTGTCGCTCTAAATTTGAAATACAAATGTAAAAGACTTCTTAATTTAAATGTCGACCATTGTTAAGTTCTTTTCATTTTCATTAATTTTTCATTATATTTGGTCGTAAATAAATACCCTAAACTATGCCCACGGGCTTTTTTCATTGCTTTACCGTCTCGGGCGGTAATGGATTTATTAAATTGCTCACAAAAGATCATTGATAGCACTGTACTTCTCTTAAAAGTCAAGATTAAGCGAAAAGTTTTTATGCTGAAAAAAATCTGAATGTCTTTCGTATAAGCATGGCTTGAAATATAGAAAAAAACTAAACATTTGTAATTTAACATATTTTACTAAATTAATTTTATAAATTCAAACCTGCAGAATGGGACCATGACCGTGACCATGGGACCATTTAAGATCATTGATAGGACCTGTAAAGGACCAGAAACGTTGGTTTGTTTGAATAAACAAATATATGCAATTTAAATCCAAAAAAATAATTTCGTTTCATATATAAGGAAACAATTTATTTTCCGTAAAGAAATCGAAAATGCGTTCTAAAAGTGAATTACAGAAGGAACGTTTGAATGTGCTCTAGACCTTCAGAACTTTTAGGATCTTCTGTTTTGTATGTGTCTATTTTAATCTGTAGATCAAGCAGATCAACTTTAGTAAATAACTATTATGTTAATATACAGAAGCGGTTTCCGTGCCGGTCCGCGGAATACGAGTACGGCAGTATGCGGTGTGCATTGAGCGACTCTGACCGCCGCACCGCGCAGCATTTCGTGCAGCTCGTCGACACGCCTGGAACTGACTACTTCGAGGTATCATTTTATTATATGCCTTATGAATACAATTTCGCACTCTTGGTGTAATACGTCCTCAACTGCAAAATTAACAACATTTTAGAATTAAAGATTCAAGGAACGAAATCAGTCGATAATTTTCTTGCCTAATTTTTTTTTAGTTTATTGGCCAAAATACAGAAAAAATAATTAGAAGCTTCGCTCACAAAAGCCGGCTTTATACGCAGCGAAGGAGTTCAGTCTAATTTAAGTAAAAATATAATTATATAATAGAGCAAAAATCTTAAAAACTAACTTAATTACATTTATACAGATACAAAACCATGCTCCCTTGCTTACATCAAGCAATTTACAAAATAAAGTTTATATCTTCAGTTAAAAAAAAAATTCTTTTTGTATGATTTATAGTATTTGTTCTCACCAATTAGGGGAGTAATAACATTTTACACATATGTACATAATTTGTTTCATGAAGTTCGTATTATTTTTATGACTTTCTTGTGATAGAACTTACTTACTAGAAAAGACTTTTGAGATATGATTACAAATGAGTAATAAATACTCTAGCAAATTAAAAGACGCATCACACGAATGAAGCTTCATAATTGACATTGTCTTGTTGGAAGAGCGAGAGTATACCCCCAGCTTGGTTGAATCATAGGCAATGTCGAATGTCTAATGTTTTAATGTATTTTTATAGACGAGAGACGTCTGCCGATTTACATAGTGTTCATTGGGAATACTCACAAATATAATAAAAGGGAAAAGTCACAGGGACACTTCAACCATACCAACAGTAACTTAGAGCACTTCAAAATTTTGCAGTCGTGAAAATAAGTTACTTTTAAGTTTGATTTAAGTATAATAAGTACTCTTAACCATTTGTAATCGTACAAAGTGCAATGAAATTCGGATCTTATATCGACAAAAACAAATACAAAAGGTACTAGGGATCAAGTTAAATTGGTCGCTTTTTATGATGGCTTATGTGGTCGTACAGAACCTGTGCCTGAAGGCGTCGCAGGCGTGCAAGGGGCAGCGCGTGTTCACTGCACCACGCGTGGGTGTGGCCGAGGACAAGGTAGCACAGTACGCTGGACTGCATTATTACACTGACAAGGAATTGCAGGTATGTATAGATTTTATTAAGAATTTATTATTTTTTATAGGTAGTGATTCTGTTGAGGAAAAAGTAACCATTTTTGCAAGATGATAATGTTCAGTTATGAGTGAAAGTGTTTTTTTCTGTGATTGTTTCTTTGACAATATTTTGAATATAATATGTTTTTCAAGTAGGTGTGATTATTGACATCAAAGTATACCGCATTCAACATATAAACAACATATAACTCTATAAATATCCTATTTATAGATTTCTTCAAACGTATCACCAGTTCAACAACGTGTATCTAAAAAGTCCACATTCAGGTTCTCGAGTATTTAAATGGTTTATTCGCTACTAAAAAAGACTTTTTAATGTAGCCTAGGAGAATTTTTCTATGCCTGAGAGACTTTAAATATCTCGGTTGTTTTATTAACTATTCGCGCGAATTTCCAACCAATTAACATAGTAATGAACCAATTTTATTCCTTTTGTAAAGAATTAACTACGAAAGTGCGGCTTAAAACAAACTCGAAGCTTCCATTGATGGCAGTTTAATATGGAAAGATAAAATACTGGAATTTATTTACATTTATTTATTTAGAATTCCGATTCAAATTTGAATATACGCGGCAATTGAACGGAACTTTTGGCTTATAATGGACGGTGAAGATTTTCCATTTTGACTTTCTTAGGAATATGGTCAGGTAGGGTAAGAGGAACACCGGCGGAAGAGGAACTTGAAGCCTTAAAAGGGCATCTCAGTATTGGACCCATTTAAATTTGAAGAAATCTGCTACTCAAACTAGGGGATGAACTGGGTTTCACGCACTTTCCGTTAAATGATTTCTAAAACCTGGCAAATAGATCTAATTCTACGAACTTTTGAGTTCGGTTTTCTTAGTACTGTGCTGTACAGAGATTATACCTCTTTATAATCCATCGACCTCCTTTGTACGACGATAACCACAAAATTGTCAAAATGTAGTATTTTCCATAGGTGACTTCGGAAGCCGCGTGTCGATTGGCGTGTGAGATCGAATCTGAATTCTTATGTCGGTCGTTCCTGTATCTCGGAGCTCCTCATTCAGCGGCCTATAACTGTCGACTGTACCATTTGGACCACCACACGTTGCCCGATGGACCTTCAGCTTATCTCAATGCGGAACGTCCTCTTATTGATGATGGAGAACCGATTGGAAAGTATTTCGAGAACTTCTGTGAAAGTAAGTCCTGCTTTGTATATGTAACCAAAATTTTACTTGTTCTATAAAATTTTCGAGAATTCCTTTTTTAAAATGTGATATTGTATTCCATTGTTTACGAGTTTTCTTTTATCAAAATAATTTTACCGACTGCTTTCTTCATAACACGATGTGATCTATTATAGGCCTTACTAACAAACTTTTGATATAATATGTTCATCTGCAAAGCCTCGTTAGGTATTTCACACTTTGTTGTTTATTTGTTTATTAAAAAATAGAACGGCACAAGTTTACATATTTGCACTATTAATACAATAGTGTATTAATTAAAAAAGTTTATTTTCTCAGAAACGATGAAACATTAATTACTCACTTCCCGTGGAAGTTCATTAAAATGTATGTATAGGTTATTATAGTTTATTACAGACACTTAAACAATTTTCTACTTGTTGAATATATTTGAAAATAAAATGGAAAAAATATTTCACATTTTTGAATAAGGATTATTTTGCTCAGAACTAGATCACGTGAAGTGTGACTCATTAGGAGTTAAGTAGATATCTTTTAATTATTTCTTACAATATTCTAACGACGGTTTTATTGACGTGTAGAGAATCAAATTTTACGTTCAGTAATGATACAATATTGAATTTCACATATTTTGAGTTACAACACTGTTGTAATAGCCGTGCGTATATTATGCATTATAAAGAATTATGGTCATGGTCATTCAATATAAGATCAGTCATTTATATAAATAAGGTTGTTACTTTCTATGTCTGATGTACATGACATGACACACTCGATGGCAATACTGATTGTCATCGAGTTTGATTAGTTAACATCCAAAGTAGGATCAAATTTTGATTGTATAAAAAAGTGCGCAAGCTGTCCTCATGGTACGCAAAACCGATTAGCTTTATTCCCATCTGATCCCCTGAAATCTGTCTCTGGGCCCGTTTTATTTTGAATTATTTTCTATTCCTATCGGATCCCCATTGCAGGGGATCAAGAATAAATATTAATATGTTGTTTCCACCTGATACCCTGGTACTTACAAATTTATTTTTGGTAGGTATTGTGGTACAGTCAACCAGAAAGTGTATTAGAGGGTTGTACAGAATTTTATTTAGTTTATCAGAAATGAACAACAATAACTGTACTTACTACTGTATATATATATTAACTTTGATTTCAAAACTTCTTTTTCTCTTAACTGTACTTACTTACCTTACAAATACAATGAGGGGATTCACTGGGTGTTGCAAACTATAAAGGGGATCAGTTGCAATTTAAAATTGGCGGTGGATCAGTTTCGGGAATCAGATGGGAATAACCCACCGATTAGAGAAGCAAGGTGTTGTCGTTTACATCAAAATTCTTTGTACGACCACAATTTCAACATAGTTTTAACTTACTGCATAAATAGTCTGATATTTTAACATGCTTTTGTAAACCAATTTACGAATTGATGTTTATCAATAATGGGAATATAATTGTAGGCTTAAATGAAAAGTTGTACATAGAAATGTTCTAAAGCAGCTATGGCGAGAACAGTCGCGCCTTTAGAACAGCCATATTGAAGTAATAACGATATGTAAATAGCCTCGGGAAACTATCAGCCTTGTCTCGTGATTCGTTCAGCGTAATCTCTTTTATAATGTACTGTCTACGCCTGACCAACCTTTTTTACACTTTATTACAATACCAAAATACTCAGCTTGTTTCCATAACGTTATTAAGAAATATATTTCTTAACAAACCTAGTAATAAAAACAATTGCCGTAAAACAACCACTATTTATTCTGAATGTTAATAAAGCTTAGTCATTTATGGTAACATAATTGCAAAGCTACATAATCGAAATTGCTGTGATGTGACGGCATAATTTAACACCTATCCCATCATAAATCTTCGACGAAGAATAAATGAAGTGAAATATTAAACACCTCCTTTTTGTAATTAAAAACTAAACCTACCAGCCGAACAGAAATTAGTATAGTGTTGTAACGAATAGTACATTCGGCTGGGAGCGTGGTCGAATAAAATTGGCACGAACAACAACGCTTATTAGCGCCAGTTTTTTTGACTTTGTAAATACAATAAAACGAAAAAGGTAATTTAATTTTCAAGTTTATAATTAAAGTTTATGACATCCTAATAAAGAAAGCATTTTTTTATAAATTTTAGTTTGATTAACTTCAAATATTTTTTTTAGTTTTGCAAATAATAGTATGCGGTTGGTTTTGCTAGAGTTTATAGACACGATGAAAGTATATGATAAATAGGTACTTTTCATTTGATTCTCTTCTTTTAGAAAAATAACTTAGTTCACATTTCCATGAAACTTTTACATAAATTGTGTTTTCTCGAACTTGCAATGTATGTTCAGCATTAATATTAGTTACATTAATTTACTGTGTTTTATAATTGTTCCTCCTGTATTAAGAAAAGAAAAAAAAAACAGGTCGAATAAGCCGAATACTGAATAGTTACCTAATATTTGTTGCAACTCTAAAAGAGATTTCTAGATTTTATCACTTAAATTAACATTGAAGCAACCAATATATAAAATGAGTAGTTTTAATAAAGTAAACAAGTATGCACATACAAAATTAGTATTTATTCACAATAATTACATGAAAAACAAGAGTTACCTAACGTAACTTAACTAAAGACGAAGATATAAACTAAAGATTAGAGTACACCGTTGATTGCTCACAAAGTTCAAAGATCAACTGTAATGAGCATTTATTCGCTGCCAATGTAACTATCTGTTTTCGCTGAGTATTTTCTGCAAAACGCATGCACACGGGCTGTACTTCCCTAGCTCAAATTACAGAAAGCGTCGTCGTGATCAGTGCATTATCGGGACATGTTTTTAACCAATTTCTTGGTAGATAGAGTCTTCTTTTGTCGCATATTTTTGCATTTGCTTTAATGTACATGTTTTCTACACAAATGGCTTCTTCGATTTAAATACGGCCAGAGAGAGAATCATTCATCTACTATTTTGTCGCCTTACTTCTCAAACTCGTATCTTAAAGCACAAAGTTACTGAAATGCAAAAAATGGATTGTATATACAAATTTTGCATGCTGATTTCATATCACATTTCCTTCATATTCACGTACTGGCTTTTACCTATTCTTAAAGTAATGCATCTAAATAAATACCCTTGATAATAAATTTAAAAAAGAAAGTTTTGCCATCTCCTGAATAATCACTCTTTATAAGATACGAGTTTGAGAAAGTAAGGCATCGATTTGTTACCGGTAATAAACACATCATCGTAAATTCGTGGGAAATGAAACTGAGTTTCTGTAAGTAATGCAGTAAAAAATTTTCTATTGTGTCAAAAACATGCTTTACGCGACTACTAAGCTAAAATAGAGCTAAAAAATTTTTTCAAATAGAAAACTACCGTGAGACTCATACATATTAACTAAACTAACGGATAATTCACGTATTTAAATCGAATTTTAGTTCGACACGTTTGGAGCCGGTCCGTGGTCCTTAATTATGATCATCCGCGGCGGTGACTCCACGAAATCCGCGCCGACAGCCCGGTCACTCAGTACCAATGTGGGCGCGGATGGCGACGGCGAGTATAGTTGCTCGTTGCCCTCGTGTTTTTCATTCTTATGAAAGTCATATGCAGGATTGCATACTACACAAACCATCACGTTCTAAAATCTAATCCACACTAACCACTGACGTGGTACTTGACACGGTTTTCCAGTGAACTAAATAATGTTAAGAAAGTCAAAAACTAAAATATTCATATTGATCCAAAAATAGTCTTTCGGCTTTCTTTTGTTCTCTGTAAAATTTTTAAATTTCAGGTGACCCTAATGCATTACTCGTGAGTATGACTCAAAGAAACAACTATTAGAACATAAATGAGTGGTATTAGCAAGTATGTAATATTTTTCACACGTTGCGTTTCTATATATAATAGATACGTGAAGGCAGCTTAATATAGCTTCGTTTTTCTGCAAAAATAACTATAATCTGGATAAGGTGGTGCTGTATATGGTTGCTAATTCGTCTGAATGATACGTATAGATATACATATATAGGTAGCGGTGAGAACCGGAGGTAGAGTTGTGATACCATGTGTGGTCGCAGCGACCGACATTATGTTCATTACGGAATTCTTCGCACCAACTCAGATCTTCAGTTTCATTGACTTTAATGACCAATCGGCTAACCACGTAAGGAGAAGACATTCCGGAGGCATTTATATTGTGTCTTTCCGGCTGAGTGTTTCTGTTATGCTATTTCTGCCGCCAAGGGGTAATGTGAGCATTATTGCGTTCAGGTTTTGAAGGGTAAGGGAGCTGGTGAAATTACAGGCACATGTGACTGTCAAATTTATGTCTCAGGTTATAAGCGCAGTGACAGAGCCCCTCAGATCTTTACGATTTAAAGCTTTAAATCTCTGAGTGGCGCTGTAATTGCTATGGACAGGCGGGCCGTTTAACACCAGGTAAATGACTAGTTGTTCGTCCTGTCACTAGATATCATAAAAAAATACTATTAAGGCGCGTTTATTCGACACGAATGTCATCGCGCTCACGCCATGTCGCTGCGCGGCAGCGCAGAACACACATAGACAACAAGCTTCCAAAAAAACTCAAATATATCTCAAACCTAACTCAAACCTAAAACGGAGTTTCTGTTGAGATTCCTCCTTCTGATTTGGCAGATATTATTCGAAACTAGAATAACTTCGTCTTTAAATTCAAATGCGGAAACAAAAAGCTACAATGCTGTCTTTAAAAACAGATAACACTCAAACTCATGAGAGAAAAATAAATATAGGCCGTACCGTTTTACCGGCCAGGGAATCAAACTCGGGACCTCGCGTGGCAGACTAGTATGGTAACCGTTCGGCCACAGAGGCTGTTAAGTTTATTTTTTTGATATAATTTGTTTATGATCATATTATATTTCTCTATTTTACGACCACCATAATTAAAATACTTCCTTAATATATCTAATTATAAGTAGAGGCT